AAAGAATTTCACTTCGAAACGAATTACAAAATAGCAAAAGCTTCATAAAAATTATTCTTAATTCGTTTGGATGATGGAAGCATGAAACGAATATTGAACAAAATTATTTTATTTAAAATCTCTATACATACTTTTCTTTACAGGCAAACACTTTAAACGTTATTCAAACCTAACACAACATCGTAAACGACATACGAAACAAATCGTTCGTAGGAAAGAGTACGTTTGCTATTGCGGTGAAGTGTTACCATCAAAAGCACGATTTTTATGGCATAAGGAAACTCATGACTCGAAACCGAAATGTTGTCCCCATTGTTGTGATCGTTTTGTACATGTGAACTCTTTGCGACGTCACATACGTCTCGCTCATTCAGATAAATTCGATTATACCGAACCGATGGAGTGTCCCATCTGCAAGCAAATATTTGCCAAAGCTTCTATGAAGGCTCATATGGCAACGCATTCCACAGAAACGCAATATGACTGTGCAATTTGCAGCAAGTCCTTCTCAACCAAATGGAATTTAAAAATCCATTCATGGGTTCATGCTAATCGTACGGCCAAACCCTTCAAATGCGAACATTGTCCCAAGGCATTTGTGCGCGAGGTTGATTTCAAGAATCACATGAATTCCCACAAGCAAATAAAACCCTACACTTGTGAGGTCTGTGGCTGTAAGTTCATACGAAAATACAATTATATGCGCCATAGAAGGGAGCATCATGGTAATAAAAAATATACCTGTGATTTATGTAAAAAGTCGTTCCATCGTCACTACTATCTTATCGAGCATAGACGCATACATACTGGCGAACGCCCGTTTCAATGTACGATCTGTGGCAAAAGTTCAACAACAAAAACTAATCATAACAAACACCTAAAGATCCATCATTCACGTGATCCATTTACGGTGGAAGTATAAATTGTAAGCATTATTTTATAGATTTTTTTTCTCTCTCCTAAATGTGAGTATACTCTCTGTCTGTCTGTCTGTGAGTGTAGTTTGTATTTTGTATCACATTCATTTCGTTAAAATGATAATATTTTCATCTCACTCTTCTTAATATGAATGTAGGGTAGAAAATTTCTATATTAATATTTATTATAGTCGTAGAAATTATAAAACCAACAAAAGAAAAACACAAAAACTAAAATTTCTAATCTATGTGTGTGTGTATGTTGATTTGTTAAACAAAATATAATATTGGATAAAAAAAAAAAAAATAGCGAAAAAAAGGAAAACAAAAATTTAAAAAGAAGTATTAATTAGAGTAATAAAACCAAAATGGAATTTATATAATAACACTCTTACTACTAATACAACTAATTGATGTGTAAATTTGTTAGTAAAAGTAAAGATTGTAGAAAAATATTTTTAATTATTAACTACATAAACTATACTTGTTGTTAAGTATTTGGTTTTTGGCATAAGAAAATTGACTTTTAAGTTCTCTCGCTTTGTATATTGAAAACATAAAATTTCTAAAAATTTTTAAGTTTTATTTCACAGAAATTCTAATGTGAAAATAAATTGTTTATATTTCAGTACAAAATTATTGTTATTTTTAGAATTTCCTTTTAATTTTGTAAAAAAAATTATTTTCATTTTTCTTTGATGTTTTTTTTTTATTTTTTTTAAATCTACTTTTCTCAAATTTGTAAATATTTTATTTATTATTCTCAATAATATTTATTTGTATATAGTTTTATTATTTTTTTTAACGTTTCCTAAACTAATTCTCCCAAATATTTTTCTACAATCTGTTGGACAATATGACTTGTCCAATATTTTCTTGACATAGACATTGCTAAACTAAATCTAATTGAAAAAAGAACATGATTTTAGTTTTTAATTTAATAAACTTAAAATATACAACATATAAACTTAATAAAATAATCTGAAAAAATAGAAAAAGTTTAAACAACAAAAAACTCCCTAACGAAATTGGTAGTAATTTTAAATGATAACGAATTATAGTTGTAAGTTTAATTAGTTTAACTAAAAAAAAAACAACAAACAGATGGACGTCAAAATTAAGAACAACGTCGAATTTATAAAGAAATTAAAATATACAACAAAAGTAAGAGACAAAATACAATTCAGATTTTTTTTGATAAATAGCTGGTTTTTTAAATGTAAAATATTTTCATAGATTTGGACAAATTGGAAAGCTTAAATGGAGTTTTATTTTTTAAAGTTTTAAGGTTGCTGACTTTACGACATGTGTGTCCTATAACCTATTTCTTCTCTGTGATATTTTTAAAGATTTTAGCAAGGATTTTTTATTGTAATTTTCTTCTAAGCCTTGTTATTTAAAAGGTTTTGTGTTATTAAAGATGGCTTAGAAGTAAACTGTCAAAAGCAAACCTACAAACATAACAAGCAAAAGGCCTTCTGTTTCTTAAACTACTACAATAATTAAAAAAATTGATTTACTATATACATATATAGCGAATTTGTAAAACTTAAAACTATTTCAAGTAGGCGTTTCAAATATCCAAATTTTGGTTTTAAGATAGGAAAAAGGATTTTTTTTACAAGGATTTTTAACGCCGGGGCGATATAGTCCAGGAAAATAAGGATTTTGCTGCGGAATAGCTAGTGGATAGACAGACATAGCACTATGGGCCATAGAAAGATGCTGAAATGAAACATAAAACAATGTATTACCATATACACTCAAACCTCGTTTTATGCGAATTTATTTTATGCAAATTTGAATTTGTACGGTTTCAAAATTCTAAAATTTTTCTTTGCAAAAATGATTTTGAGGAAAATGTTGGTCCACATACACCCAAAAAAAAGTGATCAACAATGTACAACTACTGATTTTTTACCAATTCCGGTTCGGATATATAAAGTATTTTTCAAATCCTTTGTACATGAAGAAATATTAAGTTTTATTTTTAAAAAATGTTGTATATTTTCTTCATTATTTGGAATTGGTATTATTTTGTTGTCTGTTTCCTTTATTTTTCTTTATTTTTTATGGTTTCAGTAAAGAATTAAATTTGTTTGATTTTTTATATGCGATTTTGTTTGACTTTTAAGGGAATAATTTGAAAATGTGCGCTTTTTTTTGTCTAAAACCCAATTAGTGGATTTTGTATGGAGCTGGTGTATCGTTTTGTGCGAATTCGAATTATGCGCTTTTTTGCGAAACGAATTAATCGCATAAAACGAGGTTTGAGTGTATTAGGGAGGGTGTGATGTACATCGCGTGAAAGCAAAACGTGTGATGTTGTTATAAAAAGCGACAACCACATGAAAACTTCGCTCGTTTTGATTTAATGCAAAGTAAATCACAAACAAAAACCACCTCCAATAGAAAAATGGGATTAATGGTGACTTTTAGCCCCTTAAGACGAAGCCTGTACCAACATTCATTCAGCTATCTTAAATTCTTCAGTCTGCTCATTTCCCTGGGCTAGATTTTGTAATATTTTTGTTAAAAAGATTTTTTTAATTGAAAACTTAAATTAAAATCTATTATCCAACATTATGTCCAGCTAATACTCTTGATATGTTAAAAAGAAAAAATAATGATTACATAAAATTTTGAAAATTTTTATTTTCAAATAGAAACCACAACCACTGCTGTCTCTTACAAATATATATTTAACGTTTTAATTTTGTTATTATTTTATTTTTTTATATAAAAATATAATTTTTAAATGAATTTCCATATTATAATTTGTATTAAAATTTTCTAAGCCTTACACTTGAATGTGTATTTGTAAAAATCAAAAAAAAATAATAACTTAATATTTTCTTTTTGTACAACAAATTTTTTGATGGTGTAAAAAATCAAGTGAAAATATGCGGTATATTTAAAAAAAAAATAAAGTTAAAAATAAATTTATTTACATAGAAATGTTCATAATAAAAATATGAATTAATTTACTTGCTCCTAGACAAAACAGTGCAATATAAGTTTGAACAAAAACATACATATACATATAATTTTTATACAAATCTATTCACATAATATAGTTTTTACGTTTACTGGTTGTACATACATAAATAATTTTTTTTTTGTTCTTTATTTTACATTTTGAATTATAATCGATATTTTTGTTTGTGTTATAATGGTTTATAAACAAATAATAAACAACTTTATTAGTAAATTGAATTTAGTAAAATTTTGTTTATTTTTAATATTTTCTCTATACTAATACTAATGCGTATTATATAAAAATTCTTTTTATGCTTTAAACAGAAAATTTTTTTTTAAGAAAAAATTTAAAAGAAAATTGTTATTGCATTGATTGCAATTGTTTTTCTTTTATTATTTAATTTGACTTTATTTTTATAAGTTTTTAACAAGCGATACGTTTTTTTATTTTGTACATTTTTTTTTATACAAATATTTTACATAAAAATTTAATTTTTAAAACTTTTATATTCATTTAAGTTTCTTATGTTTTTCTTTTTATTATTTCTTTTATTTACCCATTATTTGTTTAATACAATTAGTTTAATTTTAATTCTTAGCATAGGACTTCATAATATTAAAGTGAAAAAATTTATTAAAATAAAAAAAAAAAAACAACAACAAACAATAAATTTAATATTATATTTAATAATACATAAATCATAACTTTAATTATTAGTAAAAACAATTTAATTATGAACTCTATTATATAATTTAATCGATAATATACAATTTACAATGAATTATAAATAAAATTAAATAACTTACAAATTGAAATATAATTACAATCAATTCATTATAAATTATAAAAAAAACTGTTTTTTATTTAAATTTCATGTTATCAATCTAATAAAGATTAATGGAAGAATCTGTAAAGTTTTGTAAGATGGAAACTAATAGTTCTGGCTCTAATAGTTATGCTTATGATGGCGTACACGATATTTTTTTTAACGAATTGTCGCATTATTGTTGTCTTGTGCAGGTCTTTTAACTATTATGTACTTACATTTTAAACATAATGAAATAAAAACCAAACTCACTATTTCATTTTTATTTTATAAATTTATTTATAAAATAGTTATTTATAAAAAAAAATAACATAAGAAAAGTAAAATAAGAAAAAAGTAAACATAAAATTAATTTCTTTCCATTAATAAAAAAAAGTATCAAAATTTAAAACAAATTAAAAACGTTGAAAATATTCCTTTTCAATAAGAGGCTCATAAATAGTTACGCCCTTTAACGATGCTTCTTTAGATTCATACAAAGCTATTTCGATAAGATCACTATCATTAACGGTAGTAGTACCCAAAACTAGGCTACTATAGTTAGGATGTTTTTTAACAACACCAAATAGTTTACGTTTGTTTAAAAGCTGATGCAGGGCCAAACGTACTTCATTCTCCTTAACGTGAGGATTCAGTTTTATACCATGTAAACGTACGCGGAACGTACGTAGGGGCCAGCCCAATAAATCTTTCGGACACTGACGTACATATTTTAAGGGCAGTGTCTCACTGTTTAAATAGTCAACGTATAAGACGTCCACTGTTTTGGCATTTGGATTATAGGAACGTATTATGGCACGATACCAGATTTTATCTTTTGTATAACAAGCCAAACATAAAGTACTTGGTTCGAATTTTGTTAGGGGTGGAGGACATCGTTTGACGACTTCCTTAATACAGCGTTGCAGTTCCACTTCGCGATAACGAAATTCCGCATGATTAGGAAATATTTGTAATATTGTTGGTGTAATAATGGAAACTATACTACATGTAAAATGATGCATAGCAGTTGGTAATTGTGGTGGTTTGAAATTTTCAATACCACTGAAATGTGAAAAGACAGTTGAGGTTTCGTAGGGATGGAAAACATCGAAATCGGATTCAATATCCTTGATGAAAAACATAAATATGGTTTTAATGGCAGTTATTACGAAAAAAATATTAATTCACACTCACTTGATCTTCAAAGGATAATAACGCTCTACGATCTAGCTGCTCAATAATTTCTTCATCTTCCTCTAGGCGCATATCTTCAACGGTATTATGCCAATAGTTCATGGCAAAACTTTGTTCCAATTCAATAATATCATCATCATCACCCTCTTCATCGTCATTATCATGCTGATCATCTAGATCAAATTCATGTTGATAATTATCGACGATATCATCATTATCGTATACCATCATGACATTCATCATTTTTGTATAATCCTTATCGTTGAACATACGTTTTTTGGGTGGTGGTGGTTTGTTTGTAGTGCGAGTTGTTTCAATAGCGGGTTTTGATAATGGTTTTCGAAATGTATCAATGTTATTGGGTTTTGACAAACGATCTAGCATTTCGTTTAGATGATCAAATTTATCGCTCTGATCGCCATCATTCTCAGGAAAACTAATTTCACTATTATCGGACAAATCATTGTTGTTGTCTTCCTCTACCATCTCCTCGCAATCTATACTCATGTTATTGTTTTGACTAAAAATCTGAAAATATACATATTAGATTAGATAACAGTTTATTTTTTTTTGTTTGTTTAAACTTACCGCATAGTCTTCAACTGGAGCAATGGGTAAAGGATTACGAGTTTTATGTGATTTATGTAAACTTACAGCATTCAAATCGCCATCCAATTGTGATAGAATTAAGGGACTTGTCTCTTTTATTGAATTATCAAAAAATGGTCTATAATCAGCTTCGGCAAGCCCTCTTTCAATAATAAGATTACCCACATCTATAGCACCCAAATACAAATTGCAACGTTTAATTTCCTTTTGCAACTGACTGGGATGTATACGTATCGATATGAATTTGGTAACGAGCATTGCATGCATTTGATCTAATTCACCAACATTGAATTTGACGGCACCATCTTTAGGCTTGATACCATCGATAATGTATTTACTGGCAAGGGCCGGTAAATTAGGAAAAGGAGCATATGGGCGTAAATCTTTTAGCTCAACTGTCTCTACGTTACCGTAATCTATAAATTGTACTGTCCATTCACGTTCTGCATTCATATCTGCTGTTATGATGCCACGATAATATTTCGAATCAACATGATATTTAACAACACACGCCTGATCTATAGCAAAACGATAGTCTTTTGATGGTGGCTCAATGGGACCATAGGTTTCAGTTAATTTTTTCGTTATTTTCTCCAAGAACTTTTTATCGTCAGCCTCATGTAAATATACAATACAATCGAAATCAATGTATGTTGGATAACCGGAAAATAATGTTTTTGTAATAACTTTAGATGTAAACCATGCTGGAGGAGCTCGCTGACCTGTGGTATCTTTAAAATCCATTTCATTGAGATGAATACTTAATGGATGATCATCCATGTAGAATTCATTACTTTCCATGACTTCGCCAGCGACGATGCTTAAATGCAGTGGCATTTTTTCACTGTTTTCAAGATCTGTAAAGATTTAGAATTTACAGAATTGGAACCAACTTCGGAAGCAACTATAGTATTTATTAGATTATGATTTGATGTTAATATAACGGAAACATTTTAAAATTCTTTGAATATATTGATTTTTTAATGATTAAATGTGGTTCCTTATAATATATAGAATTATCGAAGATTGCGAAATAAAAAGTTCTGTTTTTTAAATCGTTAAACCTCGGTAATGCCGAGTACCAAAGAATATAATAAAACAAGTTCATATTAAATTAAAAATAAACATGATTTTTTACCTACCCTTTAATAAAACATTATCCGAAAATGATTTAAACCATTGTTCCAATGTTATTTCACCATTTGCTAATTCCATTTCTTCAATTTGATCGAATTGCTGTTTAGTATCCAATGGTTCAACCATATGAGCTAAACCCTTTCTAACTAGATTACGATTTATATTCGAATATTTGGTAATACACGGTGCCAAAGGATTAGCTGTTTCCATTTTAGAGCTCCATAAAACAATAGCCAATGAATTTTTTTCCTGATTGCGTTTACCATGCAGTGATACTGATAATGTTTCAGCTGTTGTTACATAATGTCTGAAACTATCTATTGAAGATTGAGACCAAGTACTGCCACCGGCTGGTTCAATACAGGCTAAATGACAACAATATACCGCATTTGTCACCCGATCCAATTGCGGATCAATCGAATATAATTGTTGAGCATAAATCGAACATATGGTAACACCAATATCTCTCAGAAATACCGAAAATGTTGGTTCTTTTCCGGGTAGATAAGATATTTTGGTAATTATACCACGATACCATTCAAACTGATCGACCAGAGGGCCATCAGGTGGTTGTGTGGATTGTGAATTGTGATATTTTGTATAGACAAGACAGTGATTATTTTCAAACCATTCACGCGTCTCATAAGGTAGAGGCAGCTTGCTGCCACACTTTTTAGCTTGATTCTCTTGTATTTGCTGGTGAAAAGCTTTAGTACCCTGGATCAGACTGAGCAATTGTATATAAAATTCGCCGGGATTTATAAGATGCGTAACTTTAACCAATGTACGTTTTATGGGTTTAGTAGTTGCTGTTATTGTTTTAAGATTATCGTCGTTACTTATAATGGTAAATGGCTGGTTGTTAGTGTTTGATTTAAGAGTTTTTAATACTTCAGTTATTTGTGTTGATTCACCAGTAGAAATACCAAACTTATTCTTTACCAGTGTCGCTCCTATATTAATGTCCAAGGTCTTTTTACAAATATATAAAACCACTTTATATATTTTTGATGTAACAGCCACTACTTCCATACGTAATAGTGGATTTGTGGTCATCTGCTTGAAATCCTTTATGGCAGCTGCAGTATAAACATATTTATTTTCCTGTAAAGGTTCAATATCGGCCAATGTACAGGGTAGAGCAAATTCTCTTTTCTTACGAAATTGTTCGTTTAAAACGAATGCTTGTCGCCAATTTATTATTTCTCGTCGTCCCTCATCTACTAAACGTATATTCAATTGTCCTCTATCTTTGATTTCTTCGATGACAGCACGATACCAAACATCCTTAATTTTAACTGCACAGCACATTTGTACTGTTCCCAAATAAATCTGTTGAAGTTTTGCTGCATTATTGTTATAGTATTGATTTAATTCGCTTCTTAGTTGTTCTTTGCTTTCAATCAAATCGTTCTGTAAGAGAAAATGTAATCATAAATTAGGACTGGAATCTTTATAACAAAGACTCCCTACTGATCTGTAATTATGGGAGCAAAATCATTGTTGATTTCCTTATTAAGTCAAAATTTTCAAATAAATTTAATAAATTCTGAGGGATTACCGCAGGCAGTTAGGCTGCAACCAATCTAGTTTGTCGGCAAAACTACTATTGATCTTTGTTTGAAACTTTTTCGAAACTGGTTCCGTGAATGCCTTATAGAGTCGACATTTCCTAGAAACACTTCAACGTTTCTACCTTTGGAACTAGTTTCAGTAGAGTTCTAAACTATTTTTCGTGTCTTTCAAACTGAAAGCGAATATCAAACTGAAGCGAACCTTAATTTTGAAGCAAACAGATATGACTTTCAGATGACATAGCACAATTTATAAACAAGTAAGAAATTACAGTCGAGCGTTGCCGACCATATGATACCCTACGCCAATTGCGAATATTAAATGTGATTAATTTCAATAATGAATCTTATATAGGTTCCAAATATTGTCTGTTCATGTACGGTTGTACGCTGACTAGGAGAAATAAAAGACCGATTTCAATAATTTTCAACAACAAATTATATTCAAAATTGTGATCTGTTGGGTGCACACAAGGTTTATACGGTCACAATGACGGACATAGCTTAATATGGACAAATATTTTTGAGTGTTACAAACATCACCACATTGTGCCGACTTTTGGATAGATAGTATATTAAACGTAGTTAAAAGATAAAAGGCCGTAATCGGTGGGTCCGGATGTATGGGGGCTAGGGCAGAAATTTAGCCGATCCTTATAAAATGTATTATTAGGAATTATCTATATACATATATAAAAATGAATGTGTGTTTGTTTGTGTGTTTATATGTCTGTGTGTTTATATGTTTTCTTCAAATTTTCACAGCGTGTTCCTGTATACCTGGCAATAGGCTACTTTTTATTTGCGATCATGACGACAATGATTGTGTTATTTATAATTATATCAAACTTAGTTGCGCCAATTTTTGGGAAGATAGTAGTATATTTGTCGTAGTTATGAGCTAAAAGGCCCAAATCGGTAGGTCCGGTTGTATGGGGGCTAGGGCAAAAATTGGTCCGATCCTTATAAAATGTAATATCGACATTTATGTTTATATAAAATCTATTTGTGCCAAATTTCATCGTGATACTAGTGTTTATAAGTGAATTGTGGACATTCAAGAAATTCTCTGAAGGGGATTTTGTATGGGGGACAGGGTCAAATAATGCCCCATCATTATAAAAATCGACAGTGTTATTTATAATTAAATCAAACTTAGTTGTGCCGATTTTTGAAGAGATAGTAGTATTTTTGACAAAGTTATGAGCTAAAAGGCCCAAATCGGAAGGTCCGGTTATATGGGGGCTAGGGCAAAACTTAGGCCGATCACTATAAAATTTATTGCTGGGAATTATGTCTATACAAAACTCATTTTTGCAAAATTTCATCGTGATACTAGTGTTTATACGTGAATTGTGGACATTCAAGTCATTTTCTGAGGGGGACTTTGTATGAGGGTTAGGGTCAAATAATGTTCGATCTTTACGAAAATCACTAGAATTATTAAGACATATATAAAACTAAATTTTTCCAATTTTTGTAGAGGTAGTAGATCATTTAACATAATTATGAGGTCAAAAGCCCTATTCGAGGGGGTCCGGTTGTATGGGGGCTAGGTGAAATCATGGACCGATTTCAACCATTTTCAATAGCGTTTGTTCTTGGGTCAAGAGAAGTGCATGTTCCAAATTTCATCAAATTATCTCAAAAATTGCGACATGTAGAGTGCGCACAAGGGTTACATGGACACACAGACAGACGGACGGACGGACAGACGGACATAGCTTAATCGACTCAGGAAGTGATTCTGAACCGATTGGTATACTTTAAGATGGGTGTAGGACCAATATTTTTGGGTGTTACAAACATCAGCACAAACGCATAATACCCTCCCCACTACAGTGGTGTAGGGTATAATAAAGGCGGTCATAATGTCTCAAACATGGCGAATGTACTTGATACTAATACTTACCTTAATGACATAAAATTCTTCAGGTCCTTCCACATACAAAACGGTCACTTGTAAAATTTCACCAGCTTGTATGTTCATTTTCGGTATACGTTCCTCAATTTTAATAATTGGTAAATTAGACTGAAATATAAGTTGTTAGACGATTGTTTTAAAGACTCTGATAGCGATTTTTTAAGGAAATATAATACTTTTGTTATTACAAAACAATTAAAATTTGGTAATTAATATAAAATCACTAAATGTTGAGAATATGGGAACAAATCTTACCTTTATTTGTAGCTTAAAACTGTGTACTCCTGGCCTCTCACGGGCCAGGCCTGTATATAAAAAAGTATCATGTACAGATTTTGAGAGTTCTGTGTGTAAATCAATTTTAAGCATTTCATTGTTCACTTTTTCAATAATGCTTATCCGTGCCGGTTTGCTAAAATGTACAAACAAAATTATTTAAAAATTTAAGCATATTCAAATATAAATTTACTTATGCAAAAGTTCTAGCAACAAATTATTTTCGACTTCAGTCCATTTTTTGCCCACCGGCATAATATCGTAAATAGCACAACGTATGGCAGCAAATGGTATTTTTAAATGTCTTTCCTCGATATCACAAAGTCTGTTAGAAGAATAAATACATTCATATTATATCTACTATTGATCTATTTTACTTTACTCACTTATCTTTGGACACTTCCATGCTAACACCAAAATCCACTAGAAATATTTTATACAAATCATTTGGCAATGTTTTCTTTAGCATGCCACGATACCACTGCTTATCGGTAATATGATAGGCCATATAATAATAACCTTCTGCAATTATTTTCGGTATATTATTGGCAATGGCATTTAATAAATATGTATGCGATAATTTCCGTATCGGTTGTATATCATTTACATTTTGTATATAAAAATTTTCTGGAGATTTAATATTTGTTATATGTACTAAATTACTAGCATCTTGATTCGAATTAGAAACAGTAGCTCTATTTGCCATAGATATATCATTATTGGAGTTTATATTTTTATTTTTCTTATTCTTTTTATTATTTTTCTTATTTGTTTTCGGTTTAGGCGATACGCTGCTATTTTGCGTTATATTTATAGTAGAAGGCACACTAGTAGCTGTAGTATTAACAGTTGAGGGATTCGAATCGTAAAATGATGTATCAATTTTAATCAATATTTTCGGATCTTTATAGTTGTATTCAATTGAATTATGTATAGCTGGTCGTATATCGTGTTTTATTTCGAATCTGTAATGTAAAAATTTTATAGAATAAAATAGGTACATAAATATATCATAATTACAAAGATTATTTTAGTTTTTTATTCTACATACTACATATTTTTTAAATTTATTATTAATTTGTGCCGTATTGTGGTAAGAAAATGTTTAAGGCAAAGTGAAATTTATATTTAATATGTACTTACATAAATGGATTAGTTTGTGGTTTAGTTATGTGTATATTAGATGGTATTTGTTGTATAAGCTGATTGTATTTTGGCAAAATGTGTCCTAAATGGAAATTTGTTGGTGGCGTATGCTGAAACTTCTCGAGAGTGCCGCGTATTGACTGAAAGGAAAATAAAAGAAAGTCATATTTTTAGTTAGAAACTTAAATAATTCAAGGATGCTTTCTATTGTCAATTATTTTCTAAAATATAGTCTAGTCTATAGCCTAGTCTATAGTCTAGTCTATAGTCTAGTATATAGTCTAGTCTATAGTCTAGTCTATAGTCTAGTCTATAGTCTAGTCTATAGTCTAGTCTATAGTCTAGTCTATAGTCTAGTCTATAGTCTAGTCTATAGTCTAGTCTATAGCCTAGTCTATAGTCTAGTCTATAGTCTAGTCTATAGTCTAGTCTATAGCCTAGTCTATAGTCTAGTCTATAGTCTAGTCTATAGTCTAGTCTATAGTCTAGTCTATAGTCTAGTCTATAGTCTAGTCTATAGTCTAGTCTATAGTCTAGTCTATAGTCTAGTCTATAGTCTGGTCTATAGTCTAGTCTATAGTCTAGTCTATAGTTTAGTCTATAGTCTAGTCTATAGTCTAGTCTATAGTCTAGTCTATAGTCTAGTCTATAGTCTAGTCTATAGTCTAGTCTATAGTCTAGTCTATAGTCTAGTCTATAGTCTAGTCTATAGTCTAGTCTATAGTCTAGTCTATAGTCTAGTCTATAGTCTAGTCTATAGTCTAGTCTATAGTCTAGTCTATAGTCTAGTCTATAGTCTAGTCTATAGTCTAGTCTATAGTCTAGTCTATAGTCTAGTCTATAGTCTAGTCTATAGTCTAGTCTATAGTCTAGTCTATAGTCTAGTCTATAGCCTAGTCTATAGTCTAGTCTATAGCCTAGTCTATAGCCTAGTCTATAGTCTAGTCTATAGTCTAGTCTATAGGTCTAGTCTATAGTCTAGTCTATAGTCTAGTCTAGTCTAGTCATGTAGTCTATAGTCTAGTCTATAGTCTAGTCTAGTCTATAGTCTAGTCTAGTCTAGTCTAGTCTAGTCTAGTCTATAGTCTAGTCTAGTCTAGTCTAGTCTAGTCTATAGTCTAGTCTAGTCTATAGCTATAGTCTAGTCTAGTCTATAGTCTAGTCTAGTCTATAGTCTAGTCTATAGTCTAGTATAGTCTAGTCTATAGTCTAGTCTATAGTCTAGTCTATAGTCTAGTCTATAGTCTAGTCTATAGTCTAGTCTATAGTCTAGTCTATAGTCTAGTCTATAGTCTAGTCTATAGTCTAGTCTATAGCTAGTCTATAGTCTAGTCTCTAGTCTAGTCTATAGTCTAGTCTATAGTCTAGTCTATAGTCTAGTCTATAGTCTAGTCTATAGTCTAGTCTATAGTCTAGTCTATAGTCTAGTCTAGTCTATAGTCTAGTCTATAGTCTAGTCTATAGTCTAGTCTATAGTCTAGTCTATAGTCTAGTCTATAGTCTAGTCTATAGTCTAGTCTATAGTCTAGTCTATAGTCTAGTCTATAGTCTAGTCTATAGTCTAGTCTATAGTCTAGTCTAGTCTAGTCTATAGTCTAGTCTATAGTCTAGTCTATAGTCTAGTCTATAGTCTAGTCTATAGTCTAGTCTATAGTCTAGTCTATAGTCTAGTCTATAGTCTAGTCTATAGTCTAGTCTATAGTCTAGTCTATAGTCTAGTCTATAGTCTAGTCTATAGTCTAGTCTATAGTCTAGTCTATAGTCTAGTCTATAGTCTAGTCTATAGTCTAGTCTATAGTCTAGTCTATAGTCTAGTCTATAGTCTAGTCTATAGTCTAGTCTATAGTCTAGTCTAGTCTAGTCTATAGTCTAGTCTATAGTCTAGTCTATAGTCCTAGTCTATAGTCTAGTCTATAGTCTAGTCTATAGTCTAGTCTATAGTCTAGTCTATAGTCTATAGTCTAGTCTATAGTCTAGTCTATAGTCTAGTCTATAGTCTAGTCTATAGTCTAGTCTAGTCTATAGTCTAGTCTATAGTCTAGTCTATAGTCTAGTCTATAGTCTAGTCTATAGTCTAGTCTATAGTCTAGTCTATAGTCTAGTCTATAGTCTAGTCTATAGTCTAGTCTATAGTCTAGTCTATAGTCTAGTCTATAGTCTAGTCTATAGTCTAGTCTATAGTCTAGTCTATAGTCTAGTCTATAGTCTAGTCTAGTCTATAGTCTAGTCTAGTCTATAGTCTAGTCTAGTCTATAGTCTAGTCTAGTCTATAGTCTAGTCTAGTCTATAGTCTAGTCTATAGTCTAGTCTAGTCTAGTCTAGTCTATAGTCTAGTCTAGTCTATAGTCTAGTCTATAGTCTAGTCTATAGTCTAGTCTATAGTCTAGTCTATAGTCTAGTCTATAGTCTAGTCTATAGTCTAGTCTATAGTCTAGTCTATAGTCTAGTCTATAGTCTAGTCTATAGTCTAGTCTATAGTCTAGTCTATAGTCTAGTCTAGTCTAGTCTATAGTCTAGTCTATAGTCTAGTCTATAGTCTAGTCTATAGTCTAGTCTATAGTCTAGTCTATAGTCTAGTCTATAGTCTAGTCTATAGTCTAGTCTATAGTCTAGTCTATAGTCTAGTCTATAGTCTAGTCTATAGTCTAGTCTATAGTCTAGTCTATAGTCTAGTCTATAGTCTAGTCTATAGTCTAGTCTATAGTCTAGTCTCTAGTCTAGTCTATAGTCTAGTCTATAGTCTAGTCTATAGTCTAGTCTATAGTCTAGTCTATAGTCTAGTCTATAGTCTAGTCTATAGTCTAGTCTATAGTCTAGTCTATAGTCTAGTCTATAGTCTAGTCTATAGTCTAGTCTATAGTCTAGTCTATAGTCTAGTCTATAGTCTAGTCTATAGTCCTAGTCTATAGTCTAGTCTATAGTCTAGTCTATAGTCTAGTCTATAGTCTAGTCTATAGTCTAGTCTATAGTCTAGTCTATAGTCTAGTCTATAGTCTAGTCTATAGTCTAGTCTATAGTCTAGTCTATAGTCTAGTCTATATAGTCTAGTCTAGTCTATAGTCTAGTCTAGTCTATAGTCTAGTCTAGTCTATAGTCTAGTCTATAGTCTAGTCTATAGTCTAGTCTATAGTCTAGTCTATAGTCTAGTCTATAGTCTAGTCTATAGTCTAGTCTATAGTCTAGTCTATAGTCTAGTCTATAGTCTAGTCTATAGTCTAGTCTATAGTCTAGTCTATAGTCTAGTCTATAGTCTAGTCTAGTCTATAGTCTAGTCTAGTCTATAGTCTAGTCTAGTCTAGTCTATAGTCTAGTCTAGTCTATAGTCTAGTCTAGTCTATAGTCTAGTCTAGTCTATAGTCTAGTCTATAGTCTAGTCTATAGTCTAGTCTATAGTCTAGTCTATAGTCTAGTCTATAGTCTAGTCTATAGTCTAGTCTATAGTCTAGTCTATAGTCTAGTCTATAGTCTAGTCTATAGTCTAGTCTATAGTCTAGTCTATAGTCTAGTCTATAGTCTAGTCTATAGTCTAGTCTATAGTCTAGTCTATAGTCTAGTCTATAGTCTAGTCTATAGTCTCAGTCTATAGTCTAGTCTATAGTCTAGTCTATAGTCTAGGTCTATAGTTGTCTATAGTCCTAGTCTATAGTCTAGTCTAAGTCTAGTCTAGTCTGTCTAGTCTAGTCTAGTCATAGTCTATTAGTTCTAGTCTATAGTCTAGTCTATAGTCTAGTCTAGCTATAGATCCAGTCTTCCAGTCTATAGTCTGTCTAGTTCTAGTAGTCTTAGTCTAGTCTTAGTCTAGTCTATAGTCTAGTCTATAGTCTAGTCTATAGTATAGTCTATAGTCTAGTCTATAGTTCTTAGTCTATAGTCTAGTCTATAGTCTAGTCTATAGCTCTAGTCTCTAGTCTAGTCTATAGTCTAGTCTATAGCTAGTCTAATAGTCTAGTCTATAGTCTAGCTAGTCTAGTCTCATAGTCTAGTCTATAGTCTAGTCTATAGTCTAGTCTATAGTCTAGTCTATAGTCCTAGTCTATAGTCTAGTCTATAGTCTAGTTCTTTATGTCTAGTCTATAGTCTAGGTCTATAGTCTAGTCTATAGTCTAGTCTATAGTCTAGTCCTATAGTCTAGTCTATAGTCTAGTCTATAGTCTAGTCTATAGTCTAGTCTATAGTCTAGTCTATAGTCTAGTCTCTAGTCTAGTCTATCGTCTAGTCTATAGTCTAGTCTATAGTCTAGTCTATAGCTCTAGTCTATAGTCTAGTCTATAGTCTAGTCTATAGTCTAGTCTATAGTCTAGTCTATAGTCTAGTCTATAGTCTAGTCTATAGTCTAGTCTATAGTCTAGTTCTATAGTCTAGTTATGTCTAGTCTATAGTCTAGTCTATAGTCTAGTCTATAGTCTAGTCTATAGTCTAGTCTATAGTCTAGTCTATAGTCTAGTCTATAGTCTAGTCTATAGTCTAGTCTATAGTCTAGTCTATAGTCTAGTCTATAGTCTAGTCTATAGTCTAGTCTATAGTCTAGTCTATAGTCTAGTCTATAGTCTAGTCTATAGTCTAGTCTATAGTCTAGTCTATAGTCCTAGTCTATAGTCTAGTCTATAGTCCGTCTTATAGTCTATAGTCTAGACTATAGACTAGCCTATAGGACTAGACTATAGACTAGACTATAGACTAGACTATAGACTAGACTATAGTTTTTAATGCTACCTGTGTAAATGGTTTCTCAGATATAAGAAATATTATATTTAATTCATATGGGAGGTGCCACGCCCGCTATTGCTAGTCAGTTCATTTTTTTGATATTCATATTAATACTAAAGTGACTCTAAAAAAATTTTAGGATTAGAATTGTTATATTCTGTAATATACTAATTTCTAATTTCTTATATGAAAGGTGCCACGCCCACTTAAACCTGTCCACCCATTTTGTCCACAAATGTTCATATGGATGTTAATGTTGTCCATATAAAATTTAAGGACTCTAGCTGTTGCAGTTTTTGAGATATGCGACTTTTAATACTTAATTTGTATGTATATGGGCGCCTGGTCAACTTGAAACTTCAAAATAAAAGGTAACATATATATATATATATATAGTTCCTTCCATTCTGTAAATTTCAAGAAAAACTGTCTAGCCATTTGTTCTCTATTAAACAAACCATTGTACTTACATTTAAGGTTTCTTGAGATTCATTTAATTTAATATTGGCTTCACGTAACATAAATTGTGGCTGTTGGCACATTTCACTGAATTTATCCATAATTTGTTTCTCCTCATTCTGCAAAAAACTATGGAGTTGGACGTAATAATTTGATATCTCCTCCAAAGTTTTTGTGGCATATTCCTCTAGTTGAGTTTCAACAGATTTTATATCCTGAAATAGAAGAAAAATGCAATGTGGGAAATAAGTAAATAAGAAAATCATTGAAAAAAGAAAAAAAGACTTATAATATTAAACATTTTTTAAGACACGCAATTAGAAACCCCTGAACGTTTTACACTAGAAATCATTTTTTATTATTACGGAAGTTTAAAATTAATTTAAAATAATTACCAAATCTGCACTACATTAAAATGGTGAATAAAGTTAACAGCAAATTTTATCATAATTAGAAATAAGTAGCTGTGGTAGTATTTTTATGTAGGTACTTTTAGCATAATTTAATTGCAGTAATTTATTTCTTAATATGATTTATTTCTTTTAATTCATATTGGGTTGGAGAAAAAGTACTGAACTATACCTTTCCAATGATTGTATCGAATTTAAAAGGGAGTGTTTTTAAGGAGCTCATTTTCAAACACACCAATTTCCAGAAGATTTGTACTTAGTTTCTAACAAAAATTATAATAACTTCTAACAAGTCAAGGGACCAGTTTTGTGTCTGTTCCCTTTAGGGAACATATTTTGTATCATTATACACACATGAATTTAGTTAAAATTTGTATTGAGGTCATTTTGGTAAGCGCACATGAATATAATTTTATTTAATGACATACATACATACATACCGAACAACAACATTTAAGTTTTGTTGTTCAGTTTTATTAATAAAAAAAAAAACAAATAGAAAAAATCTTAAAATGTTTAGTTTTATATGCTAATGGTATTTAAAAATCGTATTGGCAAAAATGTATCAAATTATTTTTGTACTTCATCCACATCCAACTGTGTTCAAGAGGAAATATCAAATAGATCGAGGTGTGTTCGTGTTTATGTTTTTGGGTAAATTGAAACACATAATGCAATGTTTATACCCTACATCAGAGGTCGGCAAACTACGGCTCGCAGCTGTTAAGTTTCACACACACATATTTTATTTATGTTATAATTTTATATAAAATATATATTTTGTGAAATCGTTCTGAGTCGATAAAAATATATATTTTGTGAAATCGTTTTGAATCGATAAAGTTGAAAAGTAAGAATGTCCGAGTACGTTACGCGAACACCTGCCTTGACTGCCTTATATCACGGTGGTCTTTTTTATCAACTGGGTAGACTTAACCACGCTCACCTGCGTGACTTCAATAAAGAACATTCAGGTGGCAATTTTTGTACATGGTTCTGCTGGTCCATGTACAAACACTTTGCTGAAGTACTCGATCTCTTGCATATCACGTTACGGAATGACAAGTAGCCCAATATTACCTGACAGGCGGAGAAATGCCGTTCGAATCAAAAAAGAGAGGTCACGAAATCCCAATAAACGAGGAGTGTTTATGCGTTGCCATGAGCGTCTATATATGTATGAGCGACGCCGTAACGTCCCCATCCTCTAATGATCCGCTCAGGCAGATTTCCCGTTACTTGTTTGTGCAAGTACCACACCACAAGGCTCTGTTGCTTCGGCAACAGCACCTGGAGACGTACTTGGTAATCCGAAATACCCAGTTAATAGATCAGGATCCCTCAGTATGTCGAGATAATGAGACAAAGGATGTAGGATTACCCAAAGTCAAACGAACCCAACAAATGCCCCGAAAATGCCCATTTTGTCGCGTATCATGTAACAATATGCGTCCTGTATAGATGGCAACAGCACCGAGAACTTCCCTAAAGTAAAAGGTATACTAAATTAGTATTAGTCTTTCGTCGGGCAAACGAGTCTTTCCAGATTTTTCACCAACTTACATATGTTCCACGAAAATTACAGTCAACTGCCGAATGTCAACCTGACAATTCTCCAACCTATACTGGCGCCCTACTATGCGAAGAGTAAGAGATACTTAACGGGTTCAGGAATCTAGCAAAAGTTGCTCTGTCATATCAATCAATGACATCTGTTGAAATAACATCTGATAGTAATGGAGAGAGTATCCAGAAATATATGTCATTTGGATATAACAGTCTATTAAACCGCAGACACTATGTGGATCCCGAAAAAAACTCAACCAACTGAACAGCCAGGACAAAGTTTTGAGGGCAACTGGCAATCAGTAGTTCCAGATTATCTGGCGGAAAGGCCGAGCATACATAGATGTATTGGTAGCACCTCCTTTCGCCTGGAATTGATATAACACCAAGATGGAGATTTCACCAAGGTAACATGCCCCATGGCGGAAGGTGGAAAGTAATTTGAAGGTCCAGAAATGTAGCAGATTGCAACAAAAGTGGCTTTAAAAAAAATGCCTTGAATTTAAGCGCTTATACGCTTGGTATAGTTTACCAGATTGCTACAACTAGGCGAAGAAGTTGGCATTTCGATTGTTGACTTGAGGTGGGAAACGAAAAAGTACCAGAAAATCCACTTTTATAGATTTTCATTCAATCAATTCAAAAAGCTAATTAGTAATTAAGAATGTTCCTAATTAGTTTAACAAATTCAAATAAAGTAATAAAATAAAATGATTAATCTAATTTTGAAAGGATGATAATTTAGTACAAACATAATTTGTTTGTATACCATCCACTCCTTCTTCATAACTTCAATTAATATTAAACATAAAAAATTTTATGGTTAAATTAAAATAATAAAAAAAAAATTAGTTTGGAGATTGTTAAAACTAATAAAAACAAATATTAAATGCTGGTTACTTATGGTACCTCTATTTATACATATTATTTTTAAAAGTTTATTTTTTTTCTTTAAACACAATTGATGTTGTCATCGTCGCCAACATTATCATCACTTTCAAAAAATTATAACAACAATAAACTGCTCTACTTTTATGTTCATCTATGAACTCATGTGCCCAAAATCGTTCAAGTTCTTAAGATGAGTTTTTATTTTTTACAATTGAAAATTTTCAAAATAATCGAGAGGATGCTTAAAATATAGCAATAACATGATTTTGAATTAAATTTGACATGTTGGAAATTGTATGTAATTTTTTTAAAAATGATTGTTAATAAGATACAAACGTTAGAAAAAGAAGAGAATTAAATTTGTTAGAAGCAAATTATAATAATTGGTTTCTCTTGGTTATTAACAATTTCTAAATTTATAATTTTGTTTGTAAAAAAAAAAATTCAGCAATTTATGTTTAGTACCAAATATGGTGAATAATTCTTTGACCATTTTTAGGAAATTTGAAAAATTACAAAATTTTTATGATATTTTTATTACTGATGTACACATACACTCGGATTTAGAAGAATAGGTACAGAAAAATCTTCGGAAAGAAGACTTGTTTCCTAAAGAAAAGGTCTTCCTAAGAAAGACATGTTTCCTATTGGAAGTCTTCCTAAGGAAGACATGTTTCCTATAGAAAAGTCTTCTTAAGGAATTAGAAGAATAGGTACAGAAAAATCTTCGGAAAAAAGACTTGTTTCCTGAAGAAAAGGTCTTCCTAAGAAGGACATGTTTTCTATTATAAGTCTTCTTAAGGAAGACATGTTTCCTATAGAGAAGCCTTCTTAAGGAAGACTTGGTTCTTATAAAAAGGTCTTGCTAAATAAATTTTGTTTCTTATAGGAATATTTGTTTTCTATAGAAAAGTCTTCCTAAGGAAATTTTATTCCTATAAGAGTCTTTCTAATGAAAATTTATTTCCAATAGAATAAATGTTCTTAAAGAAGACAGGTTTCCTATAGAAAAGATCTTTCTATGAAAGACATGTTTCGTATAGAAAAAGTCTTCCTAAGGAGAAGTCTTTGTAAGAAGACTTGTTTCTTATAGAAAAAGTATTTTTAAGGAAGACTTGTTTCATATAGGAAAAGTCTTCCTAAGGAACATTTGTTTCCTATAGAAAAAGTCATCCTAAGGAAGACTTGTTTCGTGTCTTCCACGTTTCCTATAAGAAGTGTCTTCCTAAGGAAGACATGTTTCCTACAGTAAAAGTCTTTATAAGAAGAAGTCTTCGTAAGAAGACTTGTTTCTTATAGAAAAAGTCTTTTTAAGGAAGACTTGTTTCCTATAGGAAAAGTCTTTCGAGAAAAAGTCATCCTATGGAAGACTTGTGTCTTCCACGTTTCCTATAAGAAGTGTCTTCCTAAGGAAGACATGTTTCCTACAGTAAACGTCTTCCTAAGGAGAAGTCTTCGTAAGAAGACTTGTTTCTTATAGAAAAAGTCTTTTTAAGGAAGACTTGTTTCCTATAGGAAAAGTCTTTCCTAAGTCATCCTAAGGAAGACTTGTTTCGTATAAAAAGTTCTTCATAAGGTAGATTTGTTTCGTACAAAAAATTCTTCCTAAGGAAGACTTGTTTCCTATAGAAAATTTTCCTAAGGAAGAGTTGTTTCCTATAGAAAATTTTCCTAAGGAAGAGTTGTTTTCTATAGAAAAAGTCGTTTAAAGAAATGCTTATCTCCTATTAAATTTGTTTCTTATAGAACAAATCATCCAGATGAATACTTGTTTCCTATAAAAAGATACTTTCAAAGGAATACTTGTTATTATAGAAAAATGATTTCTATAAAAAGAATATTCCCAAGAAAGACATGTTTGCTATGGAAAACATTTCCTAACAAAAAACTTCTTCAGTTTAAAGAAATTTTTTTAAACTCGTTACAATAAAAACGATTCTTAGAGCCAAAATTTAACAAATGCCTGCAGTAGATCAATAATGAACATGATTTAAGTACTTTGACATTATTACCGCAATTTTTGCAATATTTTCAACAGCTTTAACTAGTTTTTTTTCTTCTCAGATTTTTTCCACTTTTTTATAAAATAAAAAAATATACATGCATTGATCTTGCTTGCCTTTATTCAGCCTTCTTGTCAGAAAAACTGAGGACAGACAAATTTACAAATGAAGAACACGAATTTAACATTGTAAAACTCATCATGCTGAGAAAGATGCTGGGGCCGAATAAAATAATGAATTCACATAAATTACAAAAAAAAAAAAACTCAATTTAAGGCCTGCACAAACTGGGGAATTGAAAAGAAGTGAGTGAACATAATTTACCATTAACCATTATCAACGTTGACTACTGTCAGCTTGTGACCTTGTATTTGATGATACAGAATCGATAGTGTGCTAAAGTCGGTTAGTAAATGTCTTTAACCTCGCATAACAAGAATTAAGAATAAAATAAGATAACGATAAGGAAAAGATTTTATTAAAAATCAATGGAATATTATTTTTTCATTCTAAACAGTAGAAATAAATTTAATAAATAGCTTTTGCTTATGGATTTACAGTCACGCTTAGGTATCTAAACAAAACTTGAGAAATATTTTTGAAATTAATAAAATTTTCATAATGCGAATATAATTCGCCGCTTAATAAAATTTTGAAAAAAACAAAAATCTTTTTTCCACAATTATTATTTCTTATTGTTACTTTTTTCCAAGGTTAAAAATAATATTAAAATTCTTTTTTTTTTTTCTTTTTTATACTCTTTGAGCCATTGATTCTTAACACCTACAACCAAAATTTATTGTATATTTATACACATATATTCTTGGTTTTTTATACGATTTGTGTTAAACAAAACAAAAGACTTAAAACACATACGCACAATAATTTCAATTTTAGCACTTTAATTGCGTTGTTTGTAATTGATGGCACAAATCTTAACCTCAAACATCTCAAGATGGTTTTTTGATTAATTGAGATAAAAAATGTTTATTACACACAATTATGCCTAAATACTTTGTATAAAAACCAAAATTTTATAATTAAACAAGGTTTTAATTAAAGAAATAAGTATGTGTGTATAATAGGGGTATAACTTTTTGAAAGTTTCGAAAATCTTGTGGACTTGTTGCTTGGTTTTAAAACCTGTAGAAAAACGTAGTTCATTTTAAGTTCTAGTTCAGTTCTAGTTCAGTTCTAGTTCAGTTCTAGTTCAAGTCTAGTTCAGTTCTAGTTCTAGTTCAGTTCTAGTTCAGTTCTAGTTCAGTTCTAGTTCAGTTCTAGTTCAGTTCTAGTTCAGTTCTAGTTCAGTTCTAGTTCAGTTCTAGTTCAGTTCTAGTTCAGTTCTAGTTCAGTTCTAGTTCAGTTCTAGTTCAGTTCTAGTTCAGTTCTAGTTCAGTTCTAGTTCAGTTCTAGTTCAGTTCTAGTTCAGTTCTAGTTTAGCTCTAGTTCAATTCTAGTTTAGTTCTAGTTCAGTTCTAGTTCAGTTCTAGTTCAGTTCTAGTTCAGTTCTAGTTCAGTTCTAGTTCAGTTCTAGTTCAGTTCTAGTTCAGTTCTAGTTCAGTTCTAGTTCAGTTCTAGTTCAGTTCAGTTCTAGTTCAGTTCTAGTTCAGTTCTAGTTCAGTTCTAGTTCAGTTCTAGTTCAGTTCTAGTTCAGTTCTAGTTCAGTTCTAGTTCAGTTCTAGTTCAGTTTAGTTCAGTTCTAGTTCAGTTCTAGTTCAGTTCTAGTTCAGTTCTAGTTCAGTTCTAGTTCAGTTCTAGTTCAGTTCTAGTTCAGTTCTAGTTCAGTTCTAGTTCAGTTCTAGTTTCAGTTCTAGTTCAGTTCTAGTCAGTTCTAGTTCAGTTCTAGTTTCAGTTCTAGTTCAGTTCTAGTTCAGTTCTAGTTCAGTTCTAGTTCAGTCTAGTTCTAGTTCAGTTCTAGTTTCAGTTCTAGTTCTAGTTCAGTTCTAGTTCAGTTCTAGTTCAGTTCTAGTTCAGTTCTAGTTCAGTTCTAGTTCAGTTCTAGTTCAGTTCTAGTTCAGTTCTAGTTCAGTTCTAGTTCAGTTCTAGTTCAGTTCTAGTTCAGTTCTAGTTCAGTTCTAGTTCAGTTCTAGTTCAGTTCTAGTTCAGTTCTAGTTCAGTTCTAGTTCAGTTCTAGTTCAGTTCTAGTTCAGTTCTAGTTCAGTTCTAGTTCAGTTCTAGTTCAGTTCTAGTTCAGTTCTAGTTCAGTTCTAGTTCAGTTCTAGTTCAGTTCTAGTTCAGTTCTAGTTCAGTTATCAGTTCTAGTTCAGTTCTAGTTCAGTTCTAGTTCAGTTCTAGTTCAGTTCTAGTTCAGTTCTAGTTCAGTTCTAGTTCAGTTCTAGTTCAGTTCTAGTTCAGTTCTAGTTCAGTTCTAGTTCAGTTCTAGTTCAGTTCTAGTTCAGTTCTAGTTCAGTTCAGTTCTAGTTCAGTCTAAGGGTATGTGTAAACTTGATTGGAACAAATATTGTACCAACAGAGGTTTAAACGGATCAGACGAATGCAGAGCGTGCTGATAAGATTGTGAAATTTTACCCAAAGATTCTCTATAAATAGAACAGTAAAATCAAGCATCAAGTAGCTAACTTTGTGATTCCATGGTAAACAAACCCATTAATCCAGTTGCTATAATTGCTACATCGTCATTACAACTTTAAAGCACAAATAGAAGTCTTATGTGAAATATTCTATAAACTTAAACTCCTAAACACTTCAATAAACTTTCAACATTTTGTGGCATAACACATAACAACTAAATATCATTAAATGTTCTGAAAATAAAAACAAGAAAACTAATAAACTTTTGGGGGCACGACTTTACACATACAGCAATAAATAAATCTCCCAATGCAATAGCAGCAACAACAATAATAAGACATAAAACCAGTTTTGTAGCAACATAAAATAAGCTTAAACGAATGAAAAAGCTTCTCAGTTGTAGTACAACCGATGTTGAATAAAAAAGAAATAAAAAAAAAAAACGAAAGACTTAAGACACAAACTCAAAAATTGAAAAATAAAAAAATTAACAAAAATCACTTTATGAGAAGAAATACTGCTACAAAAAAATATATAAGAAAAATTAACGAATTGCAAAAATATCTAAAACAATAATGTTCAGTAAGTCGTGGACTTTTGAACAATTGAAAACATAAAAGCGGGAAATTAAAGCATAAAGAGAATAAAATTTTCAAATTAAAAAAAGTTAAACTATAGTAAATTTCAAATCTGTAAGAAAAAAAAAAACTAAAAAGTAGAAAAAAATAATAAATTATAGTTTATGTGCTGTAATTTATATTTAATAACTGAAAATATTTAATTTTTTTAATTGTTAATTTTGTGGTAAACGCCTAGCTTTTTGTAAATTTTTTGGTGTGCAACATTTAATAAATATTTCCCAGTAAAATTTGGCAAAAGAAATAAAAATCTAAATAATGACTGTAATTACTTTTAAATACATTAATTAATAACATTTAATTTATATTTCTAAGTATGTCAGCAATTAATTGACATTCACAATTTTCCTTTTTTTTTGTTTTGTTTGATTCAATTAAATATATTTTTATAAAGTAAATTAAAGTTGCAAAACTTGTTAAAAAAAATGATATGACAACTTGTTGAAATAAATAAAAAATGTTTAGAATCAGCTGTCTAGTACAACTATTACAAAGTTTTACGCAATTTTTTGCCATTTACTTTCAATGAGCGGTTACGTCATTGAGCACCGAAATTTTAAAATATATTTTCCCATTAGAAAATTTTATAAATTCAAGCGCAATTTTCAGTTATTCAAAAATTAGAATCTGAACAAAAAATATACGTTTTTAATTTCGGGAATAGAGGAATATTTATTTGCCAATTTTTTTTTGACTTCTACCTCGAATCTTGATCTTGAACGTGACATTGTGTTTGAAGAAAGCTGTTTTTCCATTCATGGACCGACCGATCCTCTTAAAATTTGACAGAGATTTTGTACGTGATTTCGACAGAAAGACAAACGGATATACTAAAACGTCTTAGAATTTTAAATAAGATATCAATATACCCCTTCTCATTGATTTATAAAATGTAGAGCAGACATCATCGTAGGGTTGGTAAAATTGTTATAATTGGTAGTATTAACCATATAAATGTGTACTTTTGACAACGAGCTTAATAGGGGTAAACATTCCGAATCGTAATTTCCGATCATGATCAAATTTATTATTTATTTGTTCTTATATGTTCAAAAGGAAAACAATTCCATTATTTCCAAAATTCAACATTAAGATTACTTCTAGAGGATGACTTAAGAAACAGTGAATCAGAATCAGAAAGACGACAGCCCTCTTTTTGCGAAAGATGCGAATATGTCCTTCTTGAAATGTTTCAGTTTGAACTACGAACAGAATTATTGATAAAAATTAGTGTTAGTTGTAGGACCTTGATTGAACATGATGACTCTCCACATGATAGATAGATAGATAGATAGATAGATAGATAGATAGATAGATAGATAGATAGATAGATAGATAGATAGTTAGATAGATAGATAGATAGATAGATAGATAGATAGATAGATAGATAGATAGATAGATAGATAGATAGATAGATAGATAGATAGATAGATAGAATAGATAGATAGATAGATAGATAGATAGATAGATAGATAGATAGATAGATAGATAGATAGATAGATAGATAGATAGATAGATAGATAGATAGATAGATAGATAGATAGATATAGATAGATAGATAGATAGATAGAGATAGATAGATAGATAGATAGATAGATAGATAGATAGATAGATAGATAGATAGATAGATAGATAGATAGATAGATAGATAGATAGATAGATAGATAGATAGATAGATAGATAGATAGATAGATAGATAGATAGATAGATAGATAGATAGATAGATAGATAGATAGATAGATAGATAGATAGATAGATAGATAGATAGATAGATAGATAGATAGATAGATAGATAGATAGATAGATAGATAGATAGATAGATAGATAGATAGATAGATAGATAGATAGATAGATAGATAGATAGATAGATAGATATATAGATAGATAGATAGATAGATAGATAGATAGATAGATAGATAGATAGATAGATAGATAGATAGATAGATAGATAGATAGATAGATAGATAGATAGATAGATAGATAGATAGATAGATAGATAGATAGATAGATAGATAGATAGATAGATAGATAGATAGATAGATAGATAGATAGATAGATAGATAGAGAGATAGATAGATAGATAGATAGATAGATAGATAGATAGATAGATAGATAGATAGATAGATAGATAGATAGATAGATAGATAGATAGATAGATAGATAGATAAATAGATAAATAGATAAATAGATAAATAGATAAATAGATAAATAGATAGATAGATAGATAGATAGATAGATAGATAGATAGATAGATAGATAGATAGATAGATAGATAGATAGATAGATAGATAGATAGATAAATAGATAGATAGATAGATAGATAGATAGATAGATAGATAGATAGATAGATAGATAGATAGATAGATATATAGATAGATAGATAGATAGATAGATAGATAGATAGATAGATAGATAGATAGATAGATAGATAGATAGATAGATAGATAGATAGATAGATAGATAGATAGATAGATAGATAGATAGATAGATAGATAGATAGATAGACAGACAGATATATTTAATTAATTTTCTTGTTTTAAATAAGTACATATCTTTGTAAGAATGCAAATTTCTTTTGCATTTAGAGAAACCGGCAGTTAATCGGTTTATTCGTTATTTAAAATTTTGCAAATATTTCGACACTGTAGTAGTATAGAGTGTCAATAAATAAAAAAAACTAATTCATAAATATTAAAACATTTTTGAAACAAATTTAGCAATAAAATTTTATAGCAAGATAAAAACACTAACAATATTCAAACTTTGCCACAAAAATGTTGCTTGGTGTCTAGTTAAAAGTATGTCTATTAAATTTTAACCACATTTAATTTGGCCAAAAGACATTTGCAACAAAAATATTTGGGTGTAAAGAAACAGGAAATTTGAAATACTACAATTATCAAAAAAAAGTGTTGTAATTTTCTAAACAAAAAATTACGAAAACAAATTAAGTATAATTTGAGTATAAAATAGGAAATATTAATTAGTTCAAGTGTTTAATGAATAATTTTTAATAATTAAACATTTTAACTTCTTAACCTTGTTAAACACTTTGAAAGTTGGTTTATTATTAAAAAAAAAAAAAAAATGCGAGAAAAATATTTATTTTTAATAATAAAAAAGGTCATACGAAAATTAATTAAAAATTGGTTATACATACGAATATTTTTACGAGTATATGTATTTATAATTCAAAAAAAAAACTAGTTTTAAAATTTCAATAAGATAAAATTAAAATAACACGATTTATTTTTTAAAATGCAAACTGCAACTGAAACAATGATATAAAAACAAAACAGTGGGGATGGATGATGATTAATAAATTTGTAAATTAAATTGAAATTGCAAAAAGGTTTATTAAACAGTTGGTCTAGAGTAGGGTTCTATAGTTGAAACGAAAAGTCGACTTTTCGACTTTTTTCATTTAGTAAAAAGTCGACTTTTCGACTTTTGCATTTTATGAAAAGTCGATTTTTCGACTTTTCGACTTTTTTCATTTAATTAAAAGTCGACTCTTAGAGTTTTCGACTATAAGTATTTTATAAATAGTCGACATTTCGACTTTTTCCGACTTTTCGACTTTTTTGACTTTTCGGATTTTTGTTCGACTTTTTTCGACTTTTTTCGACATTTTCCAACTTTTCGATTTTTTTTTCGACTTTTTGACTATTTTCGACTTTCGAATTTTTTCGACTATTTTTTGACTTTTTTCGAGTTTTTCCGACTATGTTAGAGTTTTTTACTTTTTTCCACTTTTTTAAAATTTCCGACTATTTTTGACTTTTTTCTACAATTTTCGAGTTTTCGACTTTTTCCGACTTTTCGACTTTTTCCGACATTTTTCGACTTTATTCGACATTTCGACTTTTCGACTTTTCGAATCTTTTCGACTTATCGACTCTTTTCGACTTTCCGACTTTCAGACTTTTCGACTTTTATTAACAAAGTCGACTTTTGGACTTTTTTCACAGACGATAGTCGATTTATCGACTTTTTTGGAACAAAATAGTCGACTTCGACTTTTCGACGTTTTTCGACAAAAAGTCGATTATTCGAAAGTCGATTTATAGAACCCTAGTCTAGAGTTCGTTTAAGAATTTGATTATCTGGTATGCTCTTTGATTTGCATATTCCAACTTGCTTGGTTTAGAATGATCCACATAATTAGTCATTTCCAAAACAAAGCTTTCAATTATTGTTTTAAACTCCACTGTACTAAGAGGAGCAGCAACTGCATCATCCAACTTAAATTTTAAAAGAGAAAGAGAGAAACTGAACAAACAAACAAAATCTGACTCCCCAACCGCAACAACAACAACAACATATGATCACATTTATATTTTTGTTTTTGCATTTGTTTATTTCAGATGTTCGAATCTATGTCGGTTGGTCAGGTCCTACCTTAAGTTTTGAATTAAACACGACAACAACAATACAACGTAATATAAATAACAAATATAAGACAATAACAACAAAAAGAAAAAATATATAAAAAATAAAACATAAACATTAAATTGTTGTATACGAAATCAATGAAAGAAAAATCTAATAAATTACTTGTTTTAAATCAAACACAATACATTCAAGCAGAGTGTACAAGAAAATAAGAAATAATTACATAATTTTAGTAACAACAAAAACAAAAAACAGAAAATTTTCCAAAATATTTATAAACAAGAAAATTCTTTAAAAACACATATGGAGCCAACAAAAACAACAAATTTGTTTAACACATTCTTCGCCACATAGAAAATAATATAAATTTATAAAAAGTAAAAAAAAAAAAAAAATTGTGTGATTTTGTAATTTCGTTAAAATAAAAATTGATAAATTGCCGCCTGTTGCTGTTGCACTTTTTCTTAAGTCTACAATTTTTATATCATTATGTTGCCGAGAATAACGTTGGTGTTGTTTATCTTATTTGGATTTCTCTTTATAACTGGTAAGTAGTGATTATTTAAATTAAAAATTTCAATTTTCTTTGAAAGTGAAAAAATTGTGTTTAAAAAATTTTACTATATAAACTGTTAATAAGCCGGGATTTAGGTGTGTAAAATGAAATGAGATTTAGTCTAAATACTTGACATACTTTCACAGAATTTGGAAAAAAAAATGTCGTTTAACATTAACTATTTATCTTTTATATGACAACACCGGTATAATACATTAAATCTGACATCATATACTACACGCTTTTTTACGCAGACTTGACAGACTTCTTGTGTCAAAATACTTATTTAAATCAAGTCCAATTGAAACTGGATTTTTAAAGCGGCACCATGATGCATACATGAAAACGCAGCACCTTTTGAAAAGCAAATGGTGTAAAACCGGTAAAAAGGAAATTTTTTCGTTCGTTTGTAGCAAATAATCTAAAGACTTTCGGTAATTCAAACTAAATGGATAAAAATTTAGTTTTGTATGGTCTCATATATGGACTTAGGTTTCACTGGATCGATCCTTTCATCATTTAATATCGTGGTTTTCTAATTTATTACATTTATGCTGATTTGTCATATCATCACCCCGTGGTCACGTTACCTTTATAACACTTCTCATTCGATGAAAAGAGGTGCTACCAGTACCTCTACGGGGACTATAAGCTGGTGATAATCAAATGTATCCTCGGTCTTTTCATGGAATGATTTGACGTGGGATCGCACCAGAACACTGTATAATCTAGTACAACGGGTGGTCAGTTGTAGGCAGAACTTTGTCTTGGTTAGTAAGTTGGTTGAGGTTCCTTTGGGATCAACATAGTGGCTGTGATTGCAACCAGAATTCGCGGGAAGGGGCGCTTGATTAAAGGATTGACGCACGGTAAAATATAATTTTCGGGATAATTTTCTGTTACCGCTCTTAGTTCCCCTGGGGCAGGTTCCCTCGATGCTTTCATCGTCACCTCATCTTGGTGTATTGCAATCCCAGGTGCTAACAGTACCTTTAGTCTGCCGGGACTATAAACTGGTGATGACATTTCACTAGTCCTTGGATGATTTGACATGGGGTCTAACCACATTATCTGGTACTACGGGTGCCCAGTTGCCCAAAGGACTTGTCCTAGCTGGTCAGTTGGTTGAGGTTTTTTCGGGATCCACGTAGTGGCTGTGGTTTAAACCCAAATTCTCGGGAAGGGGGTTCTTGGAGCGGTACAAACCACCAGCGGTAAGGTTGTGGATTAATAAAATGTTGGAATTGAGCTGATAATGCAAAGATTGGGTATGTGATGGAGTGAGATGTACCATCCGAATACTTGTATCTGATGGACGAGAGGAATCTTGGCATGTATCTGTGGAGATGTCGGAATGACAGAAGAAGTAATACCATAATCTTTTATTTATCGGCGATTTTTCTTCATGGTTGGGTGTTTTGGAGTTTACTCTAAACATGCTCAATCACAGTCGGTCCTTGTGGCCACTGAAATAAGTCTTGTCAATTGAAAATGGATCCGTGTTTCGGACTACCAATCTCAGTAGTGTGGTTGGGCGACCTTAAGAGGTCCAGAAATGCACTGGGGTGAGTCTTTAGATGATGAGCATTTTTGTAGGGACAAGGGCATTCTTTATACCATCAATAGGGTGTTTTCACCTGATGTGATAAAGCCCAACATCCAAAATGTTGCAATTGTGGCGAAGAACACCCTGCAAGTTATAGAGGGTGTATAGTCGCAAAAGAACTTCAGAAAATAAGGAAAAAGTCATCAAACAAAAATAATAATAATGTGCAACAAATTCGAAATTCTAAAATAACAAATATTGTAAACCCAAATAGTGAAGTAAGCGGAAAAACATATGCAGATGTTGTCAGCTCAAACAGCACAAAAGCAGAAAATGAAAATTTATTACAAATAATCGTATCCAAACTAAACAATCTTGAAGCTTTCAACAAGTCACTAGAACTTCGACTTAGAACTTTAGAATGCACAATCTCCAATAATGAAAACATCAATTAGAATCATGGAATGGAATGCAAATGGCTTGCAACAACATAAAAATGAACTTGAACTAATAATTGAAAAAGAATGCATAGATATATGTATGATAAGTGAGACGCATTTCACAAAGCAATCATTTATTAAATTTAAAAACTTTTATTGTTACCACACTATACATCCTAGCAATAATGCAAGAGGCGGCAGTGCAATACTAGTTAAATCTAGTATTGAACATTATGAAGAGGAAAAAACTAGCCTTCAAGAATTTCAAGTTACTACGATAACATGTAAAATAAATAACTCATATATTTCGTTTTCGTCAATTTATAGTCCTCCGAGACATACCATAAAACACATTCAATATCAACAACTAATAGAAAAGCACAAGTATAAATTTATAATGGGAGGGGATTTTAACTCCAAGCACACTCACTGGGGTTCCAGATTAACCACCACCAAAGGCAGAGAGCTCTACAAAGCATTAAAAAATACCGGATGTAATTTCATGTCCACAGGCAGTCCAACATATTGGCCAACGGATCCAAACAAGATCCCGGATCTAATTGATTTCTTTCTTTTTCGGAAAATATCAAAATTAAATCTTAAAATAGATGAAGGCTTTGATCTAAACTCTGATCATTCACCAATCTACTTAACATTCTCTTGCGATATACAACCAAAAGTACCGTATCCAGTTTTGTATAATAAATACACAGATTGGAACTTATATAAATTAAATATTAAACATAATTTAAAAACTCATCCTCAAATCCACACAACAGAAGATTTGGAAAATGAAGCTAAAAATTTTGTAACAACCCTACAACAAGCCGCATGGAAAAGCACGCCTGAACTTCAACCTAAGATTTATAGTAATGTATCCTATCCCCAAAGTATCAGAACTTTGATAACTTCTAAAAGAAAATTACGCCGAAAATGGCAAAGTACTCGAGCTCCCTGCGATAAAACTTTATTAAATAACGCTACACAAACTCTAAAGAGAGCGATACAAAAATTCAAAAATGATAACATGAATCATTATCTATCACATTTGTCATATAATAATAAGACAGACTACTCCTTATGGAAAGCTACCAAAAGTCTTAAGAGGCCAATAAATCAATCATCCACAATTAGAAAAAGCGATGGAAGCTGGGCCAAATCCAACAAAGAAAAAGTGGAAGTTTTTGGGACATACTTAGAAAATGTATTCAAAACGCAAATACCTATCTGCGATAGTATTGAAACAGTGATTAACAATGACGATGAAGAAATACCTCTACTAACAAATTCCGAAGTGAAAAAAGAAATCCGGTTACTAAAATGCAAAAAAAGCCCTGGATATGATCTAATAGCAGCTGAGCTTTTAAAACATTTGCCTCATAAAGCACTTGCAATATTAACCAAAATCTTCAATGCTATAATAAATCTAAAATATATGCCAAGTCTTTGGAAAGTGGCTGAGATAATAATGATTCCAAAACCAGGAAAACCACTCACAGATGCCAGCTCATATAGGCCAATATCACTATTACCGGTGATAGGAAAACTGTTTGAAAAACTATTCTGTAAAAGGCTGAAAAGTATAATTACAAATAGAAATATTATACCAAATCATCAATTTGGATTTCGTGAAAAACACTCTACAATCGAACAAATACATAGGATAACACATACAATTGAAAATGCCCTAGAAAACAAAGAAATATGTTCATCCGTATTCTTGGATATTTCAAAAGCTTTCGATGGTGTATGGCATAAAGGCTTGCTACATAAACTAAACATGCTCTTACCAATTCAATACTGCGAAATGCTAGAATCTTACCTAAAAGAAAGATATTTCCGTGTTAAAATCAATGATGAATTCTCAAATCTTTATCCGATAAGCTCTGGTGTCCCGCAGGGAAGTATCCTGGGACCAATATTATACTTACTGTATACCTACGATTTACCAGTAGATTCAGATTGTATTGTCGGCACATTTGCAGATGACACTGTAATCATGTCAACTGGAAAAGATGTTGAAGTCGCAACACATAAACTACAACTAGCACTAAATCGAATAGATAGGTGGACTAAAAAATGGTGTATCAAACTAAATAGCTCAAAATCGATTCATGTAAATTTTACAAATAAAAACGTCAACCACAAACCAGTCTTTATCGATGAAATTGAGATTCCACACGAGAACACCGCTAAATACTTGGGAATGACCCTAGACGCAAAGCTTCGTTGGAAAGCGCATGTTAAGAAGAAAAAGGATGAGCTAGAGTTAAAGTTTAGAAAAATGGATTGGCTAATTGGGAGAAAATCTAACCTTTCAGTCCATAATAAGTTAATTGTCTATAAACAAATTCTAAAGCCAGTATGGAGCTATGGCATCCAGATATGGGGATGCGCTAAAAACGATGTTATTAAAATTATACAAAGATTTCAAAACAAAATCCTAAGGACCATCCTGAATGCCCCATGGTACGTTAGAAACTCTGATATCCATAGAGATCTCAACATGAACACAGTAACAGAGGAAATTATTATGAAAGCAGAACAACATAGGCGTAAACTTATACTCCACCCAAATGAAGAAATAGCGTCCTTATTAAGAACCACAAATGTAGTAAGACGACTAAACAGATGCCAACCTCATGACCTCATCAGGCGTTTCAACCAGCATAATGTTTTATAAAATATTTGAATTGCTGTTAATACTAAATTATATGTTTAAATAATTAGCCTCAAACTGCTAGTTAGTCTATTTTGACTAGTCGCAGTATTTTAAGAAAAATTGTATATGTCAATTTATACCGTTTTAAATATAAAAAAAAAAAAAAAAAAAAAAAAAAACCTGATGTTGGGTCCGCCGCTTCTATCGACTCTAACCAGTAATTACCTTTTCCTTTGTCGGGGTTAGATTGAGCTTGATTTATGAAACCTGTCATTCCCCAACGGAACTACTATGGCTAAAGATTATATAGCTCGAGTACTTGAGCAAAGTGCACGTATACTGG